ATTTAATTCTCAAAAAAATCCTATATCAGTTTTACAACTGAGGAGGTCAAGTCCTAAAATAGTAAAAGCAACTGTCACAATATTTACAAGTTGTATATGTCTATTAAGAATACTCTTTCATTCTTTTGCTTATATCATTTTCTTCTCTTGGTGTATCTATAAATCAGGCAGCTAATACAATTTTTTGGGTGCCTGTCATGTGCCAGATACAGTGGAGGGTAAGGAAACCCTGAAATGATGCAGACAGCATCCCCTCCCTTGAACATTTTAAGTTCTCAGTTAAACGACAGTTAATAGATAATTAAAAAAAATTTCAAACAGCAATAAATACTGTGAAAAGTGTAAAATAGAGCTGTGTGCTAGGAAGGGGCTGGGGCATGGGATGGAAATAATATTGCTTAGTCCATCTCTAGGGGAGACCCTGGAAGAAGAAGTGATGTTTGAGTTGAGGTGTAAAAGATGAGGAGATAGCCCAGCAGAAATCCACAGGAAAGCCAGTAGGCAGAAAACCTCACTGGTATACTTAAAGACAGAAGGAAGGTCAGTGTGGATGGTAAGGACGGATGAAAGAAGACGTGAAATGAAAAGCAGCTGGAATGGCGGTTTGGGTCCAGTGGTCCTTGTTGGTTCCAATAAAGACATCTGACACCCTGCTTGGGGTAGCCACTTATGGGAGGATTTCAGTAGAGAACTATTTTGGTCTGTTTTGTGCGTTGTGCTTCAGAAAGAGCTCTTGTTGTTTGGAAGCTATCCAGGGATGGGAATGGGATAATACTGGAGGCAGGAAAATAGGACTTGGAGCAAAATTAGTTTTTCAAGGTCTCTTGCATGCGAAGAATTAGAGGGATAAGTGGTTTTTTTTTTTGTCTGTTCATGAATCAAGGTCACACATAAGGCCCACAGTAGAGGTAGTATACTGCATGAGGTCTTCTGGTTTTCAGAATGATGTGTCTTTAAGCATATAGAAATAATAAAAGTATATTGCCTTCTGGGGCTTGGAAACAGTTGACTGGTTGGCTTTTATTAATATGACTAATGAAAGGAAATAAAACCTGTGCACCTTCCCTCCTTTGTTCTTACCTGGTTTTGCTATGTTTAGTTTTAAATTATTCCTTTCTTTTTTTTCCATGTACTTTGAATAAAGTTGCTGATGATTTATATGCTGAATCACTTCTTCCTAATTATGGGCTTTTGGAAGTTATTTTAAACATTTTTGCACTGTGTCAAACTTGTGCTATGAAAACAATTCAAAGAGAAGAGTTTCCAAACTAACTCTTGAATTAAGTTTCTTCAATAAAGAATTATGTACAGGAAATGGGAAAATTCATTTTTTACTTTTATTGTATGCTGTTCTGTCGCTCTGTCTCTGTCTCTGTCTCCATTTCCACCTGTCTCAGTCTCTGTCTCTGTCTCTATGTCTCCGTGTCTCTGTCTCTATGTCTCTGTCTCTCTGTCTCCATCTCTGTCTCTGTCTCTCTGTCTCTCTCTCCCTTTCATTTATTTTTTCTATTTTGAGTGTAGGTCTCACTGAGCTGCCCCAGCTGGTCTTGTACTTCCAGTCCTCCTGCCTCAGCTTCCTTCCCCAGTAGTTGAGATTTCAGACATGCCTCACTGTGCCCAGATCACAGTTTCTTTTTTAAAACTAACATCTTCAAAGTATCTGTAATATTCTCATTATAAATGAAATATTTCAAGCCCAAATGTTCTTAAATTAATGAAACCACTTACTATTGTCGTCCCCTAATTAAATAAAATAGTTCTGTCTGGTATTATTGGAACATCTGTGAGACTGTGCTCATTATAATTGGTATCCATAATTCTTTGATCTTGGAATTAAGATAAAAACCCCTAGCAATCTTACAGGGAATTTCAGGCAGTTTCTTGGTGTGAAGCTGAACTACCCTGGTGAGTCTTCTTGACAGAACTGGCTCTCTGGACCAATTTTTTTTGCTGGCATTAGTTTGTTACCAACTATGTGTCGGGCACAGATGCAAAAAAAATGGAGGTGCAAAAATGACTAAAAACAGCCTGTTCTCAAAAAGCTCACCACAAAAGATTAACATTCAATCAGAATTATAAGTTGAGAAATAAAATGATATTCTGCTTAGTAGAGCAGAAGCAAGCCCAGGAGCATAAGCTCGGCCCTGAACCTATCTAAGAAGGCTTCTTGGAGGAGGTGGCAGGCCGTGGTGGGGTGACGAGAGGAGGTCATTACCCCTTCCCACATTTTACATCATTTGTGCTGGGGAGTTTTGCGAGTGTATTGTGTGAGTGGTTCGCAGAAGAGAAGCAAAGAGTAGTGGGCTTTGCACTGGCCACTGCAGCTGCATAATCGTGTACATAAGGAACGTAGTCTGGTACTCAGTGGTCCATAAAGATTAGCGCACACTGAATCCTCTGAAATGGAGCTCTAGCTTCATTTGGAATTACATTTTACCACTGTCTCTTCCAATGAAACCTCCCTCTTAATACACATAATCTTTTCCCATGTTCTTCCCCTTCTGATTCATTCCATTCCTCATTTTTGTTTCTTCTTATTTTTGACTCACCCATCTTTCCTTCTTTTATAATCAAATTTATAAATGTTGCCACAGAGAGAAAAATGGATTGGGAATATTTGCATTGTGTGTAAAAAGCACCCAGCAGGAATAAACTTTGAATCCCTTTCCCATACTTATTTAGCATGTCTTTCCTTAGATACTCAAATAATTTTTAGGTTTAGGAAAACTTGAGGAAAGAGCTGCAACAATCAATCCACAGTCTGCTTCTCAAATAGCCCTTTTACTCTAATCCAATTAAATCAGTATCAGCAGGAGCAACAGGAAAACTCAGGCTTGATCTCATTCCAGAAATGGAAGCTGATCACATGGAAGCTGAGTTTCACCAAAATAGTTCACAACAGGGGATCATGTCAGAACTGGGTCAGCATGAGCATTTTTGTGAATGTTTATTTTATAGCTTCTGTTAATGAGTAAACTATTCCTGGTATTTATTTGGATGGTTTAACAGTTTTACAATCTCTTCCATAGATAAATAAGATTTTATTTAGAGGGTTACAGATCTTTGATCTCCTAGCTGTTAAATGGTCAAGAGTGATTTAAAGTAGTTGTTTCCCAAGCTACTACATATTCTAGATGTTTTCATGTCTATGCAGTGTACTACGCTGTTCTCTCTCTCTGTGTGTGTGTGTGTGTGTGTGTGCGCGCGCGCGCGTGCGCATGTGCACATTTGTGTGTGTGTTATCAATTTTATTGTTACTGGCTATTTTAATGTCAAACTACTTAAAAGTAGATTTATTAATTACTTGACAATTCGTGCCTACTGTGGAACCGATTGGACAAATATTGGGGAAATAAATACTGGCTTTTCCCATTAAAACTCAGTGCTTACAACGGCAGATGTCATGAGGCCATGCTGACTTGAAACCAAGTTTGGTGCAATGACATTGAGACTTTTGGAGATCTTAGTGTTCTCTTTTGGTTCCTGTCTTTAATAATGTTCTTCCTTCCACTTAGAGTTTAGATTGCTTAAAATTACAAAAGAATATCTCACAGAAAGACATAAAGGGTGATGTTATGACACCGAACCATAGGGCATTGGAAATACAGCGTGATCTAGAGGATACTGGAGTCAAGACCTTTGGGTCTTATTGACCAATAAAGCCAAAAGTGGAATATCACATACAGATTTGTTACATAGGATATTTTAAAAAGAAATCTACATTCATATATATTTATATATGAGAAAATACACACACATATATTTTTTTTTCAAAAGGAAACACATATTTCATCATGGAAATGAAACGTAACAAGGGTAGAAATCTTAGAATGAGTGAAACCCTTCCTAGTGAAGTGTTTATTGGTGATGCTGCCCTGATGTCTCCCTGGGGTTGATAAATAGGTTGCCAAGGACAGTCATTGACCCTTGGCGTGCACGTTAGGATTTGCTGTTAGAAGTTCCACATCATTTGCTCACTTCACATCATCAGTGGTGCAGATTTTGGTTTTTCTTCATTTTTATTGTTTAAAAAGAATAAAAGATATATAAAATAAACATAAATAAATAAAATATATATACACAAAATGATGGATTCAACAATGGTCTATTCCATTTGTTCTCTTCAGATTAGTTGCTCAAATTACCAGATATAAGCATGAAAAATTAGTCAAAAATTATAAAAAATTAAAAAGGAGAGAGAAAAAATATTTAAACATTAACTACTTTCAATAGATCAGCAGAAAGCAGCAATGTAATTACTCAAGCTATCATATATATATAATTTTTCTTTAATGAATAGAGTGCAAATGTACTAATTTTTTCATGAAAATTTTTAAAAATTTTAAGTGATTGAAGAGTGGATGAGTTAGCATTAATTCACCAAACCTGTCTAGTGATGGGCTGAAACCACTGATGTACTGAGAAACATGTGAATGGTACTCAGGAATTTAAATATGTGTGCTTTCATACGCACCAATCTCAGCTTTTTATTACCAAGAGTTTGCATTCTCTCTCCTCTATTTTTGTGGTGCTGGGGATTAAACATAAGATACTGGCATGCTAGGCAAGCTGTCAATCCATCTAAACTCCCAGCTTCCTGACTTCTTTTTGTTCACTCTCCCTTCTCAAGGTGTTTTGCTCAACTGATGTAAATTCAATGATTAATTACAATTTTATTTTTTTCTAAGTATACTTCAGTGGTCTGAAGAACTCCCCCCTACAACTTTTGACATTTTTTTGAGAGCATTTAAGAATAGGCTGAAGCATGATATGGAGATTTTTCTGATATTTGAATGGTGAACTTAAAGTTATACAAATAAGTTTGGGGAAATGGGGTGTTAATGGCTGTGACACAAATTATAAATATACACTTATCCTTTGACGCTTTAGTTCTTGTCATCTTGTGAAACAACTCTGGTGTGTCTTTATAAATGAAAGGTAGAGAATGGTTTAATCATAATTTCTTTTATTCTTCTTTTGATTTTATGTATGGAAAATAGGCCACACAGCGGGCATCTTCTTCCTCACCCAACAGGAGGGAAACATCATGTTCCTTTTCCTCGCTGGAAAGTACAGTGAAGACATCTGGCAGCTTTTCTTCCTCCGGATCTAAAGAAAGACAGTCCCGGCTCAACACAGTCAATAGTTCACCTGCTGTGGAGGATGTTGGCCACTCCCTGCCTTTGGCAGTACAGGTTCATTTGCCTGCTCCCTCAGAGGTAAACAGTTGCAAGGCCCCAGAAAACAGCTCTGTCACAGCTGAGAGTGGGCTTTTGAACTCTTTATCGAGCGATGACACTTCTTCGTTGAATAGCAATCAAGACCATCTGACCATTCCAGAAAAATCTCCTGGAGCAAGAATGATGGATGGAGGTAAACTGAAAATTTGTTTATTTCTCCTTAGAGAATATGCTATCCGTGTGTGGATGTGGTATACTCATGTGAATTTGTAAGAATATTTAAACTCACAAGTGGTGGTTCAGTAATTAGACAGTCAGGTGGGGTTATCTCTGTAGAGTTTGCTCATGACAGCTGTAGTTGTCAGGCCACTAACAACTTCCACTAAGTGTCCCTCACCAACTGTGTTAGACTGTGAGACATGTGATCATAAAATAGTGATACCTTTCTGCCAGTTTGTTTCCATGTCTCGTGCTCAAGAGCTTGTGAAGTTTATTGGGGTCTTTGTCATCTTGCATTCATAATGTCACAGGGATGTTTCCAGACAAGCTCAGAGCACCTGCCATCCTGGGAAAGGCCCACTGAACAGGTTTAGTACCTAGCTAGTCAGCTCCTGAGTGTGCCTGAGTGATTAGGGAAATAGGGCTTGCCTATATGCTGGAGGGGAGCACTAGATCTTGAAATATAAAGGAGAACAAAGTTTATTCTTTTGAAAAAAAAAACATTTTAATTCTTAATAAAAAAGAGTTAAAGTGGTATAGAAATCAATAATAGGAATCTTTTTAAGTACACTGTGATAATTCTTATCTTTTAGTGAGAACTGATATTTTTGCTACTATTATTGAATCATGACGTATCTTTCCTGATGGTGCCTTTTCATTCTGGTGTAAAACGAGGTTACCTGATATAAGATATAGAGCAGTGAGAGAATGATGGAATTGGGTTGAATTTTTGAGGGGAAAATTGAGAGGAACTTTACTGGCTAAATTCCCATAACAACTAGCCAATGCTGGCTAATTACATAGATGGCAATTCCTTTGTTTTTAAATTCTCAAATTTTCAGGTGTACCCATTAGTTTAATTTTTGACCTAAGAGTAATTTAGGCCAAGAATCACACCTGTAGACCAATTTGTATGTATGTAGTTTTTAAAAATATGTGAATTTAAATATTCAAACTGGTGACTCATCCTTTAATTCACCCCAGTTTTTTTGAGTGCTTGGCTGAGGATGCTTTCCCTATTTGAGTTACTTGCCTCACCTATAGTGAATGACATTTTTATTTAATATTTCTCAATTTAGGTCAAAGATATATTGTACATCTGAAAAATTTCAATGAAGAAAGTCCTAGGCAAATTACTGTACTTCTAGAGAGAGTTGGCTGGGGCAGGGAGGAGTGAGGAGCTGAAACTACTGAGGGGTATTGGGAGGGACGAAGTCTGGAGTGCAAATAATAGGAAGAGGACCACGCTGTCCTTGGATTCCTGAGCAGCTTTGTGTGGACAAAACATTGGGCTTAATTATGTCTCCTTAGAAGTACAAAATCAAGGTCAGTGGGACAAAAGAGGTGGATTTTGGTTTACCATAAGAGACTTCCTATTGATGTTGGGAGCTGTTGCAAATAGAGTAAACTCCTTGGAAGGTAATGCTTTTCTCATCAATGGACGTGTTTACTCATTCTGTATTTTAGTGGAATATTGGTTGAATAGTGCATATTGATCATGGTCTTTCCTTTTGTGAAGAAAAATGCAATGGAGAGAGAAGCTAGGTATTTGGATCTAGATGATCTCTAATTTGATACTTAGATAATTATTTAAAATATAGGACTGATAGAAGTAAAGAAAATAAAGTGTCATATCTATTGTCTTCCTGTTAACAACTCTTATTTAATAAAGAGACTATAAATAGAACCAAATAGTTTTGATAAACACACCCACACATACATACATACACACAGAAATACGCATACACAATACCCTACACACATGATCAGCATAGCTTCAAGAGCATCATATATGTTAAAATTCCATTCACATTCTTTCCCAAGATATAACTTTGCAGGTAGAGAATTTTCCTTCAGGGTCAATGAACTGAGAGGTACGGGGAGATGTATGCTGTTCTTGCATGTGTCTAAATGTCATTCTGGAAATGCATATGCTGAGAAGCCTGGCTGGGGACCAGTAGCTCTGTTTGTCTGAGAATGAAGGAATCTGGTAGTATTTAGGTTAGAATTACACATAGAGTGACCAACACAATCTGGGTGTTTCTTCAAACAGCTTGATGTGAAGGTATTTCTCTCCGTAAGGAAGAGAAAATGAAAGTGTTTTTCCCTCACTGATTTGTTGGCAGTCGCCATATGTTACTGAATTTTTGCTGATGATTTTCTCCCGCTGCTGGGGATTTGGTTAAATTCCCAGAAGAGCTGAACCACATAAAAGCATCTCCATAGCAACAGCAGCCTGATCTTTGCTGGGGTTGTGATGACTTGCTGTTGAGTAATCAAATTGCATATTGTTTATTTTTTCTTGTGTGTGTTTTTGTGCTAGAGAAATAGGTAGCTTTTCATTGTTGTGACTTCTAAAATTACTGCTTTTGAAATGGCAGTTTTTTAAAAGCTCTGAAATTCTGTGTCTGAAATATTTGGAAGCATATTTTTATGTCAGGGATTAAAGTTTTAACACAGACCAAGACGGAAGTTAAAATTTTAGAAGATGAAATTCGCATCCAAGGATGTATGTGCTAGAGAAAGAGGGTTTTATTCAAGAAAAGATTGTTAAAGGTTAATAATGGAGTCCTGAAGCAAGCAGACAGAATGTATTATAGCTTTTCTTTTATTTAGACAATGGAAGATGTATTTTGTAGTTGGTGTGAAATTAGAATTGTGGTTGCTAGAATTTTATACTGAATTTAAATATCCATTTAGACATTTCTCTCTGTAATGTAAACTATTTTTTATAAAAGGAAAGTGTTAATTGCATCCTATTGCCTTTTACACTATGAGTTTCAGACTTCCAAAGTTCTAAGATTCTTCTGTACTTTCCCAAAGCATAGTGGGAAAAGAGATGATGAGGCTATAGAATCATCATCTCATTTGTTTTGTTCTGTGCTCTTCCTTTCTCTTGTGATTTCTTTTGGCCGTGGCCATGTGATAAGTCACATGGTGTAACTCTACATATGTATGTATGTATGACACGCTGCCTACTGCAAATGTGGAGAGAAGCATCCTTGTAGTTACTCTGGAAATGGAGTAACCATTTTCCAGATGCTAAAAAAACTGCATGTTAACTAATAAGTCTCATGCTAAACTTATGCAAATATATTGTGAGTAAAAGTACAACTAGAATGGATCTAGGAATCGTGTAGATTACGAGGTGAATAAAAAGTACTGCTAATGAAGAGACGGGCATTCTTGAGCATGTCTGACATCTCAGGAAGGTGAAACAAACGAGTGAGATTTTAGGATTGAGCAGATATCTGCAGAATTGTACACAAATTGATTGTGAAGAGTGCAAATGTGACATTATTTTAGTTAGCTACTTTGAATTTTAATTGTAGGAATTATATGGTCTGCCTCTCTGAGGGGCAGGAAGAAAAAAAATAACTGAACTCAACTCAATTTAACATCACCACCAGCACCACCAGCACCACCAGCACCAGCACCACCACCATCATCATCATCTTGAATACCTAACTTGTATTCATGTATTTTTTGTTAAAGTGAATCCAAAGATGAGCAAGATACAATTTCTATTCTAAAATATCTTAACATCTAATAGACTAAGATGGATAAGGCACATCTAACAAAATAAAGTGGATTAAATAGATGCCATAAGGTAGATAGAAGCAAAGTGTCCCAGGGATTTAGAAGACCAAGGATGCAAGATAAAGATCACACCTATATGGGAAGATCTGCACATAAAGCCTGGCACATGGAAAAAGAAGCAGAAAGGAAACTTGGGTGATGTTAAATACTCAACCAGATACTAAGTTAATTTCAATAAATAACAGAGGGCCATTTTTTAATTAACTGACCATATATTTAGAGATGATTTAGAAAAACTATCTTTGGAATATAGGATAAAGCAGAATAGAATAAAAGAAGCAGAAACTAGGCGGTGTTAGAAAGTTTCTGTAGTAGTGAGATGGGGCAGAAGTAAAGAGCAAAGAACAGAGGCCGATTCTGACTTGTACCTGTGAAGGAGAAGACTGATACGGTCCATCTTCTTAGAACTTAATTTGGTTCTTAGAACATTTCTCAATGATCCTGAAATGTAATTTGAGAAGTGATTTTAACATGGAAATGAACATTTATTACTGTGAAAATCTTGTATGTTTAATTGATTGTTGACTTCAGTGGCACTGATCACAGGCAAGAGTGACTTTCTGGGTGCTTTCGTTGGTTTCACATCAAGTGAAGATCACTACAAGATGGCATAAAATAAAGTTAGGGTACCTGAACATTTGTGTAATAGACTGAGACGTTTATCTCATTTGTTTTGTCTTATTACTGTCTATAATTTTCTCTGAAAGCAGGAGTCAGTAGTGGGAGGTTGTAGGAATTCATTGGGTCAAAGCCTTGAAACTGATGTTAATTTAAATCTAGGCTTCAGAGGTATACAACCTTAGTGACAGTTCAGAAGAAGTGGGGGCTGGCTAAGAATCTGGAGATTGTAATTAAAGATGACAGATACATAGATCCAGAAGAGAATCTGAATAAGGTAAAAGAAGAATTTTGTACTTCAGAACCAGTACTTTTAAAGTTGAAGATTTTATGGTAAATGGTTTTTAACAACTGAAAAGGGGCATTAGAAATGATCTGCTCTGGTTGTCAACTATACTAGATGCAGCTCTTTGATTATGACCACAGGACTTTCACCAAGAATGCAAATTTATTCCACGTGGAAATTGCATCTGTCATTGTGAGATAAATCATTGAAGCTCATTATTAGGCCCATTTTAATGCAATACTACTAGAATTATATTTTATCAAGAGTTTTGAGCAATTTTGTTTGCAAAGCGTATAAAAGAATTGGAAAAAACCGGATTTTTTTTTATCTAATGGTATATTTATTTGTAAACCAATATAACTTTGAGCCTAAGTGATGCGATGTGGGCTTATGACCCATTTTGCTTGAGCACCAGCATAGTAGTTCTTCTTGTGCCTGTTATGTAGTCTAGTGGATAGAGACAGATTTAG